CTTGTTCTAGGTTGAACTTGAGTTTTCACACTTAAGAGCTAATTGGCAGTGCACATAGCAGAGTTTTTTCAGCAGGTTTTCATAGCAGCACAGATTAGGCACTGAATATAGAAAATATTTCCAAGACCATTTTCAGCTTCAATGCTGGAGAAGTTAGGGTAAAAGCAAATCTTACTGAAATCATAAGAGACTTTATTTTAGAGTACATAGAACATGGACAGGGAATAATGTTCATAATAGGGAAGTCAGTATCAGCTGTTTTTGTTTAGAAATGCAAAATATCTAAAAAGCATTCAATTCTTTTAAAGTGGCCACCCTTCCCTTACGTAATAAATGACAAAAACAATGTTACTGTTAACTTCTAATAATTTGAGGACTCTGTGAATATACAGTATTTGAACAAATTATGTATAAACCCACTGTACATTTTGAAGCACATTTGCTAGAATTCTGATATTACAAAAACTTACTTTACTACGTGCATCAAGTTCTGCAAGTTAAATCCAAGCAGTCCTCGACTTACAGCCACAATTGAGCCTAACATTTCCGTTGCTAAGTGAAACATTTGTTAAGTGAGCTTGCCCCATCTTACGACCTTTCTTGCCACCGTTGTTAAGTGAATCACTGCAGTTATTAGTCAAATTCTTGTTAAGTGAATCTGGCTTCCCCATTGACTTTGTCAGAAAATCGCAAGAGGGGATCACAACTGTCATAAATAGGAGTCAATTGCCTGAGTTTTGATCACGTGACCATGGGGATGCTACCACAGTCATAAGTGTGAAAACTGGTCAGAAGTCCCTTTTTTCAGTGCCGTTGTAACTTTAAACTGTCACTAAACAAACTGTTGTAAGTCAAGGACTACCTGTAACTTGGAGAAAAAGTGTCATAGTTGAAATGCATATTAAAGTTGTTCTGTTCTCCAATGCACATGATTTCAAAAAGCTGATTCTACACTGTCATCTGCTGAGAGGGAGGAGGGTTTTCAGATTTGGGCATGTACAGAAACGGCTTAGTAAGAGGCAATTTTAACCTGTGAAGCAGACAGACACAAGCCCTACGCAATAATATACTTTCCACAACTGTGTTTTAATTCCAGAATCAGACACATTGCCCTTTTGCAGGTAAGTTTCTCATTTGTTTCAGGGCAGCAATTCATGTGCATAACAACTGCATACACACATCCCTCATTTGATTCCATCTCTAGCAGGCACAGTGCTTTTGTGTAATAATTCACTGGATTTGGGGAATACTACTATAAACATTACAACATACATATTTCATATATTTGGATTTACAAAATATATAAATAATCAGAATATCACTATCCCCCCCCCCCATAGCCTAAAGATTTATAAAGCAATTCTTACAACTTCATTCAAGCGGTCCTACTATTCAAATTCTTTAAATACATGCATTAAAGTATTTTAAGGAATTTTATCTTCCAGACTAATAATTATCTGTACTACGAGCTGCACCTTTAAGGAATATGTTACTCAATATTTAATACAAATTTAATTTGACATTTACAATCTTTAAAAAAAAACCTGATGAAAAAAGTTATCCTTGCTTGCTGACATATAGAAAGGAAAGTCAATTGTAATAGTTTCGTATTGAGTATTGAGTCTGAAATATAAATCTCTGTTTAGCTACTATTTGACAGTCTTTGATAATCAGTTTTGTTTTGGTAGTTTCTCTATGCCATCACCACCATTTTATTTTCAAATTAAAAAAAAAATAATGTTTCAGAAAAAGTACATTTGTAGTTTTTATCAAGAGAAACAACAGGTAAGGTGCATCTTGAGCCCACATGCTCAGTATGAAGGAAAAATACTTCTACTCACAGTTAGGAGAGGAGAAGATTATTCAGTTATCTTCTTTATAGAATATCACCATGGAGGACTCCTAACAACAAAGAGTTTTTTCAGGAGAACCAATAATTGAAAAACTGCAGAGCTCACAGACCCTAATACAATTTAGATGTAACATGAAACTATGCTTGTCACAATCCCTCATCCAGTTCCATAGCATGTAATCAACTACAAACCATAGTTACAGGTGGCTGGACAATCTATTATGTGATATTAATTCAGAGGTAACAAAAGATCCAGTTTGTGTTGGCTGTTTTACTCTTCAAAATCACTGTTTAGAATTATGCCCAGAAATTATTAGGAGAAATGAAAAAAATAAGACCCCCACTAACCATGATTTGCTCCTGAAGGATACCAGACAATGGTTATTGTGCCAATCCTACATGTAATCACAGCCACTGCTCAGAGTTTGCCTGGAATACAAACTACCATCTACAGTGATATGTCTACATACCTCTTAAACTGCCAGCGTTTTGAGTTACAAAAAAATCAGACCAAGATAAATCACCTCAGAATTTTGTCCGCCTTTAATATAACATATGAGCTGTATAATTCAGTTGAAAAACAAACTTAAATCCTTTAGGAGGAAAAAAATAAAAATACAAAATGCACAATAAGATAGCTGCTTCACCATGCACACACTCTGTGATCTGTGGCTGTGGCTGTGTTCAGAATTAACCAATCTCATTCATATTGGAGTTAAATAGCAGTCAGTACACACTTGCCATCAATTAAAGTGATTCTGATCAAGCTCATATGAAGTTCAGCTGTTGTAGGATTTGTCTGACATGTACTCAGTTGCCTCTTACAGCAAAAACTGTAACTGCAAAGAGTTACAAAGCATCAAAAAGATCTCATTGTATTACATGTGACAACAATCTGGCCTGTGGGATAGGGTGACAAGAAGGAAGTCTTTTTTTTTTTTTTAAAGGAATTCGTCCAAGGCCAGCTACATTTTGCAAAAGCTACTACAATACCCCAAGTCTGGCAAAAAGCATGTAGGAAAATGTGTTATGGTCTGATGAGATTAAGGTTGAATTTTTGGCCATAATTCCAAAGAGTGTGTTTGGCGTAAAAACAACACTGTGCATCACCAAAAGTACACCATATCCACAGTGAAGCACCGTGCTGGAAGCATTATGCTTTGGGGCTGCTTTTTTTTTTAGCTGGAACTGGGGCTTTAGTCAAGGTGGAAGGAATCATGAGCAGTTCCAAATATCCGTCAATTTGAAAAGGGCTGGGCAAAGGTGATGCCTTTGCAATCTGACAGATTTGAAGCGCTTGTGCAAGGAAGGGCGGGCAAAGACTTTCAAGGCAAGATGGGCCTTACCGACTGACTCCAACCCCAAAAGAATGCTTGTTGTTATAAAATCCAAAGGTGCTTCAACAAAGTATTTGTTTTAAGAGTGAGCAGACTTAAACAACCCTGTTATTATGTTTATTTTTCCCCCTAAAAGATTTCAGTTTGTTTTTCAATTGAATTGTACGGCTTATATGTTAAAAGATGGAAAAAATTCTGAAGTGATTTATCTTGGTCTGATTTTATTTATATCTCAAAAACCTGGCATTTTAACAGGTGTGTAGACTTTTTATATCCACTGTATGTGCTGCAAAGGAGGAACATTCTAGATATTATATTTGTAATTATTTCAAGATACTTAAAAATCATAGGATCAAAACACTTTCTCACTTTTACAAGTCTTTCTGTGGTTTCCCAGGGAACAGTGAGAAAAGAGTGTTTATTTTTAATAACAAAGGCCATTCTACCATTAGCAGTCTTTGCTGGAACACCTTAGAATACAGGTGTCAAACTTGTGGCGTGACGTGTCACAACGTATCATGACTTTTTTTGCATTGCCAGAGCTGGGGTGAGCGCGGCCTCCGCATGATGCAACCGGCCCACGGGCTGGCAGTTTGACACCCCTGCCTTAGAAGTATACTAGATCACATTATAGTGTAAGTCCTATTGGGTGATGGGTCATCAATACAATCTGAAGATGCCAATCCATACTCTTCTACTCTTGATTTCCTGATCTTGATGGGGAAGATTTGAAGAAAAACTTTGTCCATAAGATAGTCTTACTTCCACATGGATACTGTCATGTAGAATTTAGCTGAAAGCATATCCCTATAGATCTTCCATATTTTTAACATTCTTGAATAAGTTTATAATTCTCTAGTCCAATGGTGGTGAACCTACAGCACGGGTGCCAGAGGCGGCACTCAGAGCTCTCTCTGTGGGCACACATGCCGTCGCCCCAGTCCTAGGCCTTCAGCTGGATTTTATAAAACCTTTTCGCTTTAGGCCTCTGCTGCCGTGTGCAAAAAAAAAAAAAAAAGGTTCAATCAATCAGTCAATTTCAACTTCTCGCGGGAAAAAAAATCTCACAAAGTTGGAATTAATTGATTGGAACTTTTTAGTCCCATCCAGTCTGCTGTTACCACCACAGCCACGCCTACCCAATGGGCTATACCCACCCGGCACCCGACGATGCATAAGTGGGTTTTTGGTTGCAGTTTGAGCACTCAGTCTCTAAAAGGTTCGCCATCACTGCTCTAGTCATTCCAGTAAGACATTTCAAATCAAGCCTGAGTTTGACACAGCCTTTTGTTCCTGTATGCCCATGTTTACAACTATTTTCAAGTTTAAGATTAAAAATGAGACCTCAGCCACACTGAACAATACTGCTCTATCTCCCCCCCCTTAAAAGTCTTATTTGTCCTTGTTATATATTTCACCTCTTCCCCCACAAAAAGCTCAGCTAAACTTTCCATGAATTCTAAATGGAATGTCCAGAAAGAACAAATGATTAGAAGAAAAGTATTTAGGGAACAAGTAAGTCAATTATTGTAGCAAAAATCAGAGAATGTTAACGATTAACAAGAGATAATTTAGTTCTTTAAAGATCAAAGCTCTGACTACCGTCTCTCTGACAGCTAAGATTCAAACAGAAATTAGCCTTTTAAACTATGCTTTTACTTGTGAAGTAAAATCATAGTTAAACAGCCTTCTCTAGGAAGATAAATAATTCATTAATAAAACTTTCAATACTGTTGAAATGTGTAAGCTATGTCTTGCTTCAATTAATTTTTGTAAGTTGTAAGTTTATGTTAAATGTTTAGAAGCATGTATTTTACTTTATAAGCATTAAGAGCTTTATTCAGTTATTTCTTTAAAAGTAATTTACAAACCCATCATGCAAAGAATTTTAGGGAATAAAATACAGATGTTTTAAGTGTAAAATGCAATAGCAGTGTTGTGGGTCTCAAAATATTGTGTTTTATTTTAAATGCAATCATACATTTTTAAATTTTCTGCCAATATCTTAATATTGCAGCAACTTTTCATATAGTTTCTGGGACTAAATAGCCATGAGGAATATTGTTTTCCCTAAATGGAGTGGTATCTGATGATATCTCATGAAGCCAAATATAATTCATTTATGATTTAAGGTAACTAAACTAAAATGTATATAGCTGCTACAGTTTGCTTTCAAAATGAGCATTTAGGAAATAAAAAGGGGGCCTTTCTATTCTTTTTACCCACTTGATGTATGTTTTACAATATTGCCAGTATAACCATATGCATTTATTCACGAATGGGTTCCAATGTGTTCAACAGGGCTTAATCCCAGGTAACTGTAGATATATCATTGCAGCCTAAAATGCACCTGAACTAATGAAGATACATCTAGAGGCAAAGTAGTTCATGTCTAATTAGCAGACAAACACTCTTTCCTTTAACACACATCCACATAGTGGAGAATCTGCAAGGACTGATATCCCATGTAATCGATACCATGTTAAGGAGGATGATCCATACTGGTTTTTGGAAATAATTTGCAGTCACATTTATATCTTCATGGTGATACTAGCTCAGATTATGTTACACAATTCCTTGTTTTGAAGCAGAACCTTAAATTCTCTTCCCAGCACACAAGAATGAAAAACAGGCAAACTATATAACCATTAGCCTGGAATATCAATATTTTTGTTGGGATGTCAACATCCACACTTAAGGTTCATAAGTTTTAATATATTTTAAATAGTACAGCAAGAATTACTACATTTTCCCATAACTCTTTCAGCTGGACTTAAATGGCCATAAAACAGTCAGGCTTATGGTAATATAGGGAAGTAACATAATCAGTATCTGTCAACTGAACAAAAGTGCACAGCATAGGAAAGCAGTGCCATTTTAAAATCTCTCTAAGAAGTAGTCAAAGGAAAATATACATAAAGGTAAAAGCTTTACTTAACAGTCTCATTACCTTATTATAACAGTATCATGTTTTTGGCATTAAAACATTCAATTATAGATAGAACTTGTTTTGTCTGTATAATAGAGACACACTTTCCTCTTGATACAGCTACACTTCTAGCACTCTACTGAATGTGAAATTCAAAGGCTATTTTTTTAACTTTTTTAAAATCTTCAAACCTTAATGCTATTTGTTTTTTTTTAAAAAAAATCAATTGTGCACCAACAGGGAATTTTAAGAACTGCAAATGTTCTTGATTTTTGTTTAAAATATAGCATTTCAGAATGTTAATTGCTAAATAATCTCATTTATGTTGTAAGGTGCTAACTGTGGCAAATGCAATTTTACTAAGTAATGTAAGGCCGTTCAATGAATATACTGACATCAATTTCTTCATATCTCTCTTGGCCAGGCCACATGCTTCAGTTTTCTTTTAGTCATGATAAAAAGATGAAGATTAAGTTGTTTTTCTGAAAAAAGAGATCCTAGGCAGACACACTGTATATTTAAATTTGTTGAGATCACTGAAGTATGTTTCAATGATGTCCAACTGTCAATTCTAAGTGGGGATTGGAAAAGCAAATTGGGTTGTTTTTACTTTTCGTCCAACAAAATTGGTGCAAAGACACTTTAAACAATTTACTTCTAGCCTTTTGGTCCAAATACATAAAATACGCATTATTTACAGCTGTTTTCTCCTTTTGCAAATGCAATACTTTAAAACACATTGTAAAGGACCTTAGTAAAAATATTCTACTGGTAAAAGTATCTAAATAGGAAAACCCTAACCATACCACAGGCTCACTATTTGAGTCAGAATATGGATTTGCCAGTAGCTGTTAAAAATACAAAGAATTCATGGAACATTGATACAGAATCCATTATCTGTTTTACATTGAAATGTAGGCAAAACCTAACTTAACAGTTTTTCCAACCTAAGATGGAGGTTCAAAAGATATTAAAGAAACATTGAGTGATTTCCAGCCTTTTTACAATATTACTATAGAATTTGATTTTTTTTAAAAAAAAACCACTGATGACCAGTTCTAACTTCTTAAAATGAAAATCCATTATTTATAAATTCGGGAACGTCCAGCTGCATCACTTCTTAGGAGGTGAACATTCCAACGAATGTTATGTGATATGAATTCACAAGAACAAAGCACAAATGTCAGCCAGTTATTTATATTAATTGTAAGTGTATACAATCCAAATCTCCATCTTGAACCAACAGCTTCCTCTCTGCACTGCATTAAGTAAAAGAAACTGCCCCATGAATCGAGAAGACAATAAAAGGAAGTCTTTCACCTAAGCTTCAGCTACAACTGGTATGTGCTTAATTTCTGTAAATCTTTGTGCAAGGTCTAAGTAGTAACCTTCTTTCAGAATATTAAAGGAACCAAAGCTTAAACTTAGAGATGATCAAGGTCTCTAGTCTTCAGCTGTCTTCCTCCAGCGACACACAGTGCACTCTACCACTTGAGTGGATTTATCAATCATCTACAAATTGGTGCCGAGAACAAGGATGTGATCACAAGGTTTGTTTTCTTAACCTAAAAATATGCATCGTCTTTAGTTTGATTTGGGGTAGATCTTTTCATAAAAAAAGTTTTGTGCCAGAATGTATAGCTCTCCATCTTTTTCTCGAACTGCATGGGCTCTGACAAACTGAAATTGCTCAAGGGCAAATTCATAGAACTCGTTCTCCATTTTCCAGATTTCAGACTGCTGGAGCTTTGCAATGGTTTCTTTTGAAGGGAGCTTCTTCTCCGTTGTTTTCCTAAGATGAGACTTTTTACCTTAAAAAAAAAAAAAAAGTCACAAGTCACAATTTCATTGGGTCATAGCGTAAATATTCTCATGGACCATAAATTTATGCAAGCTTGCAGAGTGTTGCTGTTGTTTTGGCCTGCAGATTTCTAAAGGGATATGAAGTGACAAAATTTTGACCAAGATTTATTAAGTTTTGAGAAGTGAGCAACAGGGGAAAAACAAAAAAGTTGCATTCTTATCACTGCTAAAGGGCTTAATTATAAAGAGGGAGTGACTGCAGAGAAGTGCATTTCTTCTTATCACATTCATTTATCTATTTCAATCATGATTAATATTTAGAAATTCAGCAAAATTAATAACAATTAACATCATTAATAAAAAAAAACCAAAGCAATTTGTGTTTGGGTGACATTTCTCATAACATAAATGTTTTATCTTAAAATATCTTTTTAAAGGCAAGAGGACAAAGTCATTTATGTTAGGTATATCCCACAAGACTTATATGCATTTAACATACTGTACAAGCTATACTGTATATTATATTACATTCTATCAAAACTAGCTCCTTATATTCTACTCTCTAGCCATAATTGTGAAATAATAATCAAAGTCAGGCTATAAACTACAATGAACTTAAAGAAAATAGTAAATATGGCTCCTATCAAATGGTGTGAAAAATGTTTAAATTCCAAACAGTTGTACTCTACTGGGAACAGGCCATTTTGATCATTTGTGGAGTGTTATACTTGAGACATTTCCAACAGGATTAAAACAGTTCATTTCCATGAAGAAATATCACCAGAGGAAGAAATAATTTAAAAAATTCTAGATTGTGCGGAAATGGACAGACTTACTCTGAGGTTGAAAGAAAAAGAATAGAATATTTTCAAACTTGGGACTTATTTTATCAATGGCTGGAGAAAAGAATAAGGGATTAGGAATTCAATTTGTATTAGTGAATGATAAATTCAGACAATGTTTGCTGAATAAGTACTTTTGAATTGTATTTAAAAAATAAATAAAAACTTTTTTAAAAAAACAGTTCATTTCCAATAGAAAACAACTGTTTTCAGCTTGACACAGGGCATTTCAAATTTTACATACATCCATGCTTTGAAATATCTTTTCCCCTTTCACTCTGAAGCGCTGCACAGCTCTGCTACATATAACTGGACACTTAAAGGAGTAATATTTGCTATTTAGAAATACAGTCTAAAGGTGATTTGGTCCATTTCCTATTTCCTAATGCCAGGTACAAAGCTTTACTTTCTTTTTTTTCAGTAATACACTGATAGCCCCTGAAAACTTGTTAGACCTCTTCAAATGGTGATGAAAAGGTTAGGTCTACTGAGCCTAGATGGATATAGAAAGGCCATTTATGTTTTATTTAGTTTTCAGCAACTAGTAAAAGATAAATTATATGTATTCAGATACATAAGGGAGAATTGGAAAAAGCCACTGTTATTATATTTTCACTAGTAATGGCAAAATGTTCTGTGCACACAACTGTGCCCAGACCAAAATCGGTTTCAGAAGTGTTTTTGGAGAAAGGGGGGGGGGAGAAGGAAACCAAACAACATTGGGGATAGCATACAGCAGTTAAGGGTGATTGGAGAGGCAATCAGGCCAGCAGTATACATTATGGCGAAGCAAAACAGTGGCAGCTAAGGGTAACTAGGGGAAGATTCATGAGGAAGGGAAAAAAGCAGTGGAATATAGTGCACTTGAAGCCAAAGAAGTGGGCAAGATCTACAAGAGTATGGACAGAAAAGCACTGAGAGACTGGTGACTTCTGATGAAAAGACGGCTAACTGACATGCCCAGAGAAGGATCCCTGAAGGGTTTTTCCCTGGGCTGTAGTTTTTTCAACTACCAACAAAAGGAACTGGCATTCCTTTAGTTTATATGACTCTCCTGGCTTAGGAAAAGGCCTAGAATTATCCCTCAAGATCCTCCGATACAGCAAAGGTCTGCAAGTAGCTTCAGGAGCTGTGCTTTGAAGCAGCTTGTGTGTCGAAAGCAGGGGGGCTGCAATCAATTCGTTGTTGAAGAAGCAGCCTTTTAAAATTTATTTTTCAAATGGATAGTAAGTTGTGCTTTTCATTTCTTAGTAATTTTTAAGGACTATTAATCTTTATTAAGCTAAATGAGCCTCTTTAGCCACAGCCTGTTATTCCTTTTTGAAGATCTGTGCCATTTTGGGGATTTCTTCAGTGTTAAACAAGGAAGAAGCTGTTAAGGCAAGCCAAAATAAGGATGTGTGGAGTATCTTTTTTTTTAAAAAAAAAAAGTTGATGGAGGAATATAATGGCAGAAAGTTGTGGTTTTAGTTTAGTTTAGTTTATTGTTTTTAGTAATTTGTAGCTTGGTCTGTTTTGCTGTGGGTGGCTAAAACCTTCCAATTTTCATGATTCCTAATTGGCCAGCAATTCTTAAGTGGTTTACCAAAAAAACTACTCTTTGACTAGAGAGAGAATTAAGAAAATGGAGCAGCAAATTATTAGAAATGCATTTGAAAAATCTTTAAATAAAATCCATCAGTTTATAGATCAGCTATGCACCAAGGATGTTAAAAAAGCTTCTCAAACTACTTCAGAGATGCAAATATGTGTAGAAAGTTACCAAACCTCCGAGGCAATTTCACAAGTAGCTGACAATGCAGAGAAGTCAATTGCAATTTTGGAATATAAACCTGACACTGACTCTTATTATGATAATTTAAATATAAGCTCCCCAATACGATTGAAAGAAAAGCTCCAAGAAAATCTGCAACTTTTAAAAGGATAAGTTTAAAACTTTCCCTTATGGACGTTAACGGTTGAGAAATCCTTGAGGAAAAGAGAAGCTTATAACTACTTGACAAACATTCCAGAGAAGAAAAAGACTTTACTCCATAAAGACAAGCTGGAAGGAGTGACTTAAACTTAATGAGTCAATTGGAATTAAGATGGATTTTTATCGTTTGATATTTGTAATTGAAAGAAAGTCTAATCTAAAGTTTGAAAATGTGTTTTTCATTTATATATAATGCTTATGTAATTCCTAAAGCTTGTGAAATGTTATTGAATGTGTATTTGAGAGTACCTGTGTTAAGAGAAAGTTAAAGAAAAAGATGTATTAATTTTAAAAACGTTTAGAATTTTAAAAAGGATGTATACAAGAAGAAAAAAATATTCTATGAAGGTAACTTGGAGGGAGTGATTTAAATTTAATAGTGAACTTAAAAGTATGCATGTTAAGAGGAAGTTAAAAAAAGATGTATTAGAAAGTTTTGATTTCAGAAATGTTTTAAAATGGATGAAAAAAGTATTTTTCCCTTTAAGGTTAAAGAATCTGAAAGAATACAGTAAATTTTGTTAATATAAATGGTGATAGTTTATAAAGATTATTAAGTGCAAATAGAAATACATATTATTTCCACAGCAAGGAAGATAATGCAGAAATGGTTAAATTGATTGTTTTATTCAAAGAGAAGAACATATTTAATTATTGTTTTTTATTTGGATATCACTTCTGGAATTGGGGCTTTTGATGAAACAAAATGAAACTTTGACTTGCTTTTGCTGATTAGATAGATTTGTTGTTATAGAAATGGCTAGTTATATAGTAATGTGTAAAAGTAAAAAGTTGAGCTGGAATGTTATCTTGTACTGTGCTAAAAAGAGTCAGAAGTCAACTCTTTTTTTTCTTTCTTCCCTTGTATCTCATATTTTCTTTCCCCCTTTTTTTCCTTCTCTTAATTTCCTATTTTTATTTTTCTTTGTATTTTATATATTGGTAAAACAATATATAAAATGGAAGCAAAGCACTGAAAGACTGGTGAGGGAGCCAGTGCTTAGACCAGGGCTGGGAACGTTCTTTTTAAAGGGGCCAGAGGCCATGTGCCCCCCCTCCCCCTCCCTCTTGGCACTTGGGGCAAATCATAGAGATGCACTGCTTTGGGGGGAAAGGAAGGGAGGTGTGGCTAAAAGGGAACATAAGAATGTCCTCTGCGGAGTCTCAGTGTGCCTCTGCTGATTGGGGAAAGAAATGCTTACGGTGGGGAGAGGAGGAAGGGATCTCAATAGGTATAATATAAACACATATGTATATTTAAATACAGACTTGTAACCCATTCAAATTGTTAGAATTTATTAAAATAATTTGGGTGTACACCAATCTAAAACAAAATTGCTAACTTGAATTCTTTTTTAAGAACCACCCCAAGCAGGGAGACATGATATTCTCCAAAGTGCCTGAAGGCAGGACAAGAAACAATGGATGGAAACCAATCAAGGAGAGAAGCAGCCTAGAACTAAGGAGAAACTTCCTGACAGTTAGAACAATTAACCAGTGGAACAACCTGCCTCCAGAAGGGATGAATGCTCCAACACTGGAAGTTTTTAAGAAGAGACTAGACAGCCATTTGTCTGAAATGATATAGGGTTTCCTGCCTGAGCAGGGAGTTGGACTAGATGACCTCCGAAGTCCCTTCCAACTTTATAATTATATGGACTAGATGACCTCCAAGGTCCCTTCCAGCTTTATTATTATTATTATTATTATTATTATTATTATTATTATTATTATTATTATTATTATTATTATATTTCTTTTGGAGACTACTGGCTGGATGATTTGGGGTGGGAGGTTAGATTCGGCCCCTCAAGCATCATCTGCTAGCCAAGTTGCCTGGCTTAGGTATGTAGTGGAAGAACAGAGAGGAACATAAACCTTGCCCTCAGCCTCTAATAGATGTGCAGATTTTGTTTTTTGGGCCAAAACCCCAATCAATCAAAATGCCATAGTCTTCAATTTTGCTGAATCACACCCCAGTCAATCAATTCAGCAGAATTTGCAAAGTGCTGTGTGTGTGTGTGTATTCTATGCTTGAAACACATTTTCAGTTTTAATAGCCATAATACATCGCTTGTAATTCTTTCAGGAACGAAATAATGAAAAATCTCGGAAAAGACGCTGTGCTTTCTCCTAAAAAGAAATACACACAGAGAGAGACATGATGTAGTTGACGGGTGATGAAATACCTGTTCGATATAATTCTGTAGCACCCCTGAAGAAGCGAGGCAAAGCTGCCTCCAGCAACATAATGAAGTCTTCAAGCTCTTCAGTAACTCCCACTAGGAAATATTCATTAATCAAGTTGTATTTGGCTTGTTCCAAAGCCCATCTGCTTCCCACATTCCTAAAATGATAAAAAGTAATTACAGGATGGTTTTGATGTCTGCCAAGAATTTTGGTTCCCTTCATTTAGATATTCTCACACCAGGCTAAAATAATGGCTAAGCTGTTATCTTTGCACAGACAAGAAAACAAAGTTTCAGCCACACACATTTTTATTTTTTTGCTTTTTTCCCTTCTCCCCATTTTTTGTTCTCTTCATTGCCTAGGTTAGATGTCAAAAGTTTTACAGCTCTGATTTCTAACTTCTTGATGGTGCAAATGCCTTTTTAAAATGTGCTATGGAGTGGGGAAAGTTTTGCTATTATACTAAAATAGCCAAGAGTGTCAGTTTGAATGTAATGGGAGAAAAAAAGATTCAGAGAACATTTGAGTTGTTCAACAGTCTTCCACAACAATCATAGAATATTTGCATTTTAGTAAGTCTACATTATAAGCAAAAACAAAGGGATTTCCTATTAGCCTTCTCATCTTTCCTATTATCATCTACTATTGGTATCTTATGATTACTGTATATTACTTCATTGTTTGTATGTACAAACATTGTTTGTATGAGAGCTTATGCACCAGAGACAAATTCCGTGTGTGTCCAATCACACATAGCCAATAAAGAATATTCTATATTCTATTTTTAAAATGATTTAGCATTCAGATGAAATTTAGTACTCAGAAAGTAGTTGCTCATGCTTGCACCAAATAAATTGTCTGAAGAAATGATCATCAACACATTTATATACAAAAACATTCTGTTGGAAATAGGTTATACTTGAAGTGACCTCCAGACACTACTTGTTTGGGGCACTATCATGACAAACCCCTCTTATTTGCTCCTTTTTCCTTTACTGATGAATTCACAGTGTGCTTAAGTTTTTTATAATGCAGTTCAATTGTGCCTATTTCCATCAATTAAAATGAAAAATAAGCTTAGCTCCTTTGGATGAATACTTGTTAAAGCCAGTGCCAAAATCCCCACCTCCTCTTAAACAGTTTTTATTTTTTATATATATAAGTTTTACTGACTTTTAAAAATTACAATCTTTAGAGCTTAGTAAACAACATGTTGTCTGGGTTTACGTATTTAACATTAACTTCTTCAATATAAATCTATTTGGTACTGTACGTTCCAATATTTTTTCCATGATCTTCTTTTCTTTCTCATATTTTTTCCCCTTTTCCCTCGTTAAACAATTACAATTCTTAGTACTATTGATGTATACAAAATTAGATATAGACATCTTCATCGTATTTTACTAATGTTATAGAAATAACAATATCAATTCATAAGTCAATATCCTGTTTTTCCTGCTCTTATTAAAGTTTGATTTCCCATCAATATTTACAGTATTTTTATCAGTTAAAATTTTCTCAATACTAATTACATTTATATAGCTAAAAAAAATTATTTATACCAATCCTCTTATTTTCAAATTTCCATATCAAAAACAGAAAAAGAAAATGCTATTTTAATTCTAAATCATATCTTCCATTACAAAACTCTAGTTATATCTAAGGCTCATCTGTTCTTTTAATCATATTCAAACAGGTATATTAAACAGATATTGCCCCCTCTGATAAATCAAATCTTCTATTTTTTAAGTCTAACTCTCGCTTTCTTTCTTTGCCAAGTAGCTTTCCAGGGCAAGGCAATTAAATTGCCCCCCAAAAATTCTGTTTTTGTGCAAGCTGCTTGGCATGAGAAAGACAATTTAGGCAGAGTATTTGGGGGGGGGGAGGAATTCTGCCCATCCACATTCCCTAGACCAGGAGTAGGCAACCTTGGCTCTTTTATGATTCGTAGACTTCAACTCCCAGAACTGAGCCAGCCATTCTGAGAGTTGAAGTCCACGAGTCATAAAAGAGCCAAGGTTGCCTACCACTGCCCTAGACATTTTCTCTGCCCACTCTATGTTCCATTTTCTAAAATCTTCTTCCTTGTCATCAGGTGTATTTTGGAGAAAGGAGTAAAAGGTCTTTTGTATTTTCATTGTTATAGGTAGGTCTTGCAGTATTTTATATGTATATGGCAGTCCATATTTTCCTTCTCCTATCTCCTCCATCTCTAGATCTATTTCTTCTACTCCATCCTCTGATTTCTTGTTTATTTGGTCATACTTTACAGTCGTTGTCCTGGAGCTTTCCAGCTGTAGCGTCAATTTGGAGATTTGGTCCTTTATATCATCTAGGCTATTTTTAGTCTCATTATAGTTTTTTTATGTCCTCTTTTTGTGCAACAAATGTTTGATGAATTTGCTGTAACATAGGGAGTATTTCCTTCTGAAATGTATTTGTTTTTTCTTGAGGCATCATTCCTAGAAATCCTCTGGTATCACCAGTCTCATTAAAAGTGGAATAAGATTTCCTCTAGTTTTCTGGTCTTTATATATAGCTTCATAATCCAGTCCTAATAGCAATATTTTGTAGTAATACTTTGTCTCAAGTATCCTGAAAATTATCAATCAGGCAAGGTTGTAGTCCACAATGTTCCAAGTGTTCAAAATGTTAAATCTCTCTGCAGCCAGATACATTCAAAAGTCAAATCTTTCTTTCTCTCCCACTAGCTCTTGAGATTAAAAGTCCAAGTTCAGGAGGTATTTATAGTCCAAGAAGGTCAGGATGATAATATTTTCCTTTATTGCCAGCTGTACCAAAGCAGCCAAGGAGCTAGTTATAGTGCTGTACTCAAATCCACCACTAGATGTCATTCAAAGTCCATTTTCCACTTTTAAAACAAAGGTCTGATTTCTTATATTTCACCTCAATATTTTTTTTCCCAAAGAGAAAATCTTAACAATTATCTCAGATTTATCAAAGCTGTGGCTTTGTATTACTTTCACTTCAGTATTGTGTATTTCTGTCCCCCATAACAAATTTAAAATGCCGCTTCTGTTCACATCCCAAAGCTTTAAACTTCTTGGGAGCCTTTCCCAGGAAATTCAGTTGTAAAATAGTAAATAAAGGATCAATATTCTCACCCAGTCCAAACATGCTGTTTACGATGTGCTAATTAAAGCTTTGTTCTTCGGTTGTCAGCAACTAATGGCCGGCCACACCCTGGATCAAACAGGGAGACCGCCGTCTCTCTGTGATCAACAAGGCACCCCTCCTTCTTCATCACCTCTTTGGGTGATGCTCTGCCTTCCTGCGTCCCGTCTCACCATGATGCAAAACCAGAAGTCCTCTTAAACAGTTTTTAATCGGGATAGTCAATCATTGATATGGAAGGTTAGAAAGGAAAGGGACAGTTGAGTTTGAAAATGGTTTATAATTCTCTAAAACTCTGCTCATTGGAAGAGAAGCTACTTTTGTTAATTAAAGCTCGCCATTCTCAGCACCACCATCAGCCCGAATTTAAATTTCTGGTACCCATTTTCATTAGTTCAATCAATATAACACAATCGAGGATAAATCTCTTCTGTAATGTCATATTCTTACCAACATTCAGAGCTATGCCCACAAAAAAATGGTATCTGAAGCCAGAGTTTCTCAGGAGCACAATCTGAGCCTCCAGCTGCCACACATTCGTCAAATGTCTGGGGGGGGGAAAAAAAACCAAAGAAACTCAGAAGTAAGCTATAAACCTCCTTCTTCCATATGAAACTTTTCAATATGGTCATATTGTTAAATAATGGATATAAGAATAGCAAAAAGTCCCATTTCTACAACTGTATCTGCTTGCATCAACTATGCTTGCAAGTCAAGCTCTGTTGGGCTCCCATTGCAGATAACCAATCAATGATACAGACCCTTGAGAAGCAAATGTTATTTGCAGAGATCACAACAGAAGTTAAACTAAAAATGGAAATTAAAATGGCTCGTGGGAATATAGACAAAATGTGTTAATTTTTTTTAAAATGGTTTATTTTATATTAGCAGGAACTAATTTGAAGGTATTATATTTATTGATTAAAAAGATTGCCTGTTGGCAATCAAGCTATACTATTGCTGCTGCTGCTGCTGCTGCTGCTACAGTAGACTGGGCTAATTTTGATAGTTCTGAATCCTCCTATACAAAGGTTAATTACTTAGTACTTTTTAATGCTACTGGAGCAGAATCCAAACAAATGTTGCAGAACAATTCTTGCTTATAACCAATGCAAAATCCAAGAGCACAGAGGGTGAGATATGATAACCACCAAGTTAAGTGTACATCAGCAAGAAATGTGTGGTCAGAACAGATTTTAAGACAGCATTAGTTACAGCTGACTGATCAACTGGATCACAACCAACTTCCTTCTTGCTAAGAAACTCTTTAGGCATTATAGCAAGAGTAGGGTCTCTGGACTGAATTTTCCAAGTAATGCTATAATAAACAATCTCATAAGTAGACTGAATCTGCTTAAAGGAAAAGTATCTCCTGGATACAGTTAACATGGCACCAAAGCAAAAGGAAGACCCATGCGGTCTGGCCGAAATGGATCCATGAATTGCTTTAGCGTTCCCATAACATAAAATGAAGACCCAGCTGAGGGTGCCTATGGATTTACATGATCCATGATTTGTATATGTAAACAGCAGGAGTATTAACAGTATACACATACTCTATATACATTGCTTCACATACAGTAGTTATGAAAAATAGACAAAGAAGGCTCAATTCATTGGGACTGCACAAAAGCGGGGCAGGAATAAATCCTCTTCTGTACCTAATTCCATTCTGAGACGATAGTGATAATGTCTCATAATATTCAACCCCAAAGTATGAAATATTATACTGGGAAGGGATGACTATATTACTTGCAGCTTGAAGAATTCCGATCCATGATTCTTTGCAATACAGGGCAAAAGTTTTATGATTCATCATTAACTTGTAATATTATCCCGCCAGATTCAGGCCGATCAATTAAGGATATTTACACACTTCTTAATAGACTGCACTCTGCTCATGGTATGAAGCATCCAGATATTTGCTAAGAGAGGAGAAGGTATCAGAAGTGTCCTTGGGGGAGGGCCAATTACAAAAGTAGCATTGCACTGTGTAAGCTCCTTCTCTTTTGTGCATGTATCATTATAGCGTCCACATGTATAAAAGGGACAAGGTTTGTATTGTGCCTCCATGACACTACTTCCATCATTTTGATGAAACCTCTTATGCTATAGATACTTGAGAAAGATACCTTCAGTTAGTCTATACCAGTGTTTCTCAATTGACAATTTTAAGGCATGTGGACTTCAACTCCCAGAATTCCACAGCCAGCATTGCTGGCTGTGGAATTCTGGGAGTTGAAGTCCACATGCCTTAAAATTGTCAAGGTTGAGAAACACTGGTCTATACATATTTATTTACTTGTCAAAAGCGAAAGCTAAGAAATCCAGGAAAGAGCTAGACAAGCAAGTAAGTTCACAATTTACAGCAGAAACTTCTAACATGAGCCAATCAGCTTAAGATCTTTAATAAAGGATTATGGGGGAAATAACAAAAGAAATATATAAAGGAGTGTTTAAAAAAAAAACTCATTCCTGCTCTCATGAATAGATGTTTTAAAAGATCAAAAAAATGTACAGAAAACTCTTGTGAATGGAATGAGAACTTTTGCTCCAGTTTTGGTTTTGAACATTATGTTTTTCATTTAGTTCATAAATTACATAGTTAAAACTAAGCCACAAAGAAAGTGAACAAGATATACTTTTACTTTTTTATCCCCTTGCTTTCGCCTTCGGAGTCCAGGCCTGTAATCATCACCAAAGCGCAGGAAGTAATAATAAGAAACCAGCCGTTCTATAGGATCTCTTATGACATTGATGTATATTGGTTTCTTTTTAACACCAAATCTGAAACAGAAAAGATAATCTAATTGACAAATCAAAGCGTTTCCTGCATGATGTAAAAAGGGATCCGGTGTCAAGTTTATTTCAAAAGAGTGCTCCTCTCCCCCCATATTAATGTATTCAGGAAAAAACAATAAGCAGACAATACGTTTTCCATTTCAAGGTCCTTTTAAAAAAAAGTTCACAGTCGAGATAGTTTTCAAAGGAAGGTCACCAGACCTTATCATAATACATTCCATTTTGGTGGATTTTAAACATGCATATTTGATATTTACATTTAGATACTCACTTTATTTTGTCTAACAAGTATTATCAGCAGAAGTCTAGTCTGGTACTTCTGCTTCCAACAGATGCAACCTTTTAAAACTATACTTTGCAACAAAGAAGATAATGCAGCTGGTGTTACTATAATGACCAGATGCAGGAAAGGTATGATGAGGGAGGTGCTCAGAAATAGGGTTTGTTTGTTTTTTTGCTTTGATAAAGTCCTGCCTTTTAAATAAATGTTAAATAAATTTGATAAAGTCCTGCCTTTTAAAGGCTTGTTGCAGAGATGATAATTAAGCTTGATGAATACTGGAAGCTGGAAAAATGATAATTAGCTATATTCAACAGATGAGAAACCCGATAGGATTGGACTTAGTGCAATAGTTTTCTTCTTTCATTAGCACCTTCTTTTAAGGAATTTATACAACGATCTTGTGAAAATGTCTGTGTCTCTGTGCCTTTGACTCCTATAGACTGCCTGGATAAGCCACTGCAATTTTTTGGGCAACATGTTGGAAGTAGTTTACCACTGCCTCCCTCCTAGGGCAGAGAGAGTAAGTGTCTGGTCCAAGGTCACCCAACTGTTTTTGTGCCCAAGGCAGGATTAGAGCTCATAGTTTCCCGGTTCCTACACTGATGCCTTAACCACCACAGCAAAGTGGCTTGCCTATGAAAATTTAGTACAAAATAAAGCTTTTCATCATATTGTGCATACAGGTAGTCTTCCCCTTACAATTTTAGTCGAACCCAGAATCTTGGTAGTTGAGTGAAGTGGTTGTTAAACGAGAAAAATGACTGCTTTGCTCAATCCTGGCTCTTCCCGTTTCAGTTGTTAAGTGACTGTACAGTCGTTAAGCAGAGCACCGGACAAAGGGCCCAGGTGTGGTGAGGCTGGGAGAAGGCCTGGGCCCTCTTCCGGCCCCACTGGGGAAAATGGTTGCAAGAAGAAAGGGCAAAAACTGTCTTTCATTGCTCCAGAAATTCGGATAGATTTGTGCTAAAGTGGAAGATTATTATCTATTTAAATATATTCAGTTGGATATACTAAGCAGCAAGTTGGGGTTTTTTGACCAAAATGGTCCTTTACAAGCTGTTCTGTGAAACTTTACTCAAAACTAGCTTATATTTTGGACGTTTCTAATAGATTTCAGCATTTCCCACAAGAGGTAGGGAGAGTTTTAAATGTTTTGCAGTAACCTTAACACTGGCCACAGAACTGTGCAGGTCCCAAAATGTCAAGAGCAGGCAATCCAGTTAAGGCCTCTTTTGCTGCTACTCTTGATTTTGTTGTATGTATTAAGTGCTTTCATTCTGACATTTTGCTATATTTATCATTTTGTTCACACTACAATTTGTCGCATGGTGTAAATGCAAAAACTGTATTTTAAGACCAATCTTTCTTTTGCAGCGAAGGTAAAAGAGAGGAATCAAGGTCTCTGTTGCACATGTTTCTTAATTCATATTTCTCATTCCTTGACTCAAGCAGAAGTGCCAGCTCAGCTCTGCCTGTGGGAAGGCAATGCTCAGGAAAGAGGAGCAGAAGGGAAACTGACTGCTACAATTATCCCTCCTATACTTTATGTCCTCTAAAACATATGTTTTTTATGTCATCTATGAATGTATACAGCCAACACAGAATAGAACAGGCTTGGCTTTCTTCGGTAGATGGGAGAGATGAATCAGTATTGTTATGAAAGAGACCCAAAAGATATCAAGGTCTCTTAGAAATCAATCATGATAAAATTCAAAAATAAAGAGAATCCTGTCAGTAAGTTAGTGCTGAATAGTTATATCTCAAAGAACATGAAAGCAACAATATATTGTATATATTAATTCATTATGCTGTTTGATAAAATTTCTACAATATATTTTACCACAGCTGTTGCAAAACTTTTTAACTTCATTTTAATTTTGTATGAATGCACATTGAATCAAAGCACTAGGGGAGAGTTTATTCAGGAAGATAAATAAACAATATTCAGAGAGTGTATATTTCCTCCCTCAAAGAACATCACACCATATGTTACTCAAGAAGAGCAAATACTGCATTATTTTAAAAATCAAAATCACAAACATAAGCAAACAAACTATATAGAGGGCAGGCACAGCCATTTAACAAACAAACAAAAACTTAAGTATAAACCAGTCCTAGGGAAAATATGCCTGTAAATGTAAATTGTGATATTGTTTTGTTGTCTTTCTTGATTAAGAGGTTTTCAGTTTCAAACTATGAATAATCTATCAAGTAAAGAAATGCTTACAAAGCTGTTCACAAGGTTATTATTTGGTTATATATTCAACACAAGAGATGCATTAATACAGTATGTTACACTACTGAATTTGAAAAAAACGAGGCAATTTTATATTCGCGATTTTTTTTCTTTCAGACTAAGAGCTCCTTCTTGGTATGTAATATATTTCAACCTTTCTCTGCCATTGTTCACTGCAGCATTATGTGATACTATGTTTCATGAGTATATATAATACAAACTTGTTTGAGATTGCCATTTTTACACAATTACCAAAATAAAACAGAGGGCACACACACACACACACACACACACACACACGATACTCTTTCTTAATTTGCTTTAAAAACTACCATGCTTTCAAGGTTAAGCAAAATTGAGAATTAAACAATGACTACAACATATAGGAGTTGTGATGGTGCAGTGGTTAGAATGCCATATTTGCAGGCTAATTCTGCCCACAGCTAGGAGTTCGATCCTGACTGGCCCCAGGTTGACTCAGTCTTCCATCCTTCCAAGGTCGGTAAAATGAAGACTCAGTTTGTTAGGGGCAATATGCTGACATTTGTAAACCACTCAGAGAGTGCTGTAAAGCACTATGTAGCAGTACATAAGTCTAAATGTTATTGCTATAAGCAGAAGGATCTGAAAAAAATATGAAAAACATATCATATTCAACCTATATTCCCACTATTCTTAAAATAAATGTTCAAACAGAAATTTCATGCACTGGTCTCTGTCTCAGACATTGTCAGAGTACAGAACTGTAAGATCCACAAAGATAAGCAGGAGAGTCCCAAAATGATGCAAGTTGCAAGGCAAGCCATACCCTTTTTTCTGTATATATTGCAAAGCATGCACCCATCCTAAGGTGTGGAGTTTCTGGCCCAATGCTCTATGTTGCTTTAATCACATTTAATGCTAAAACTAACAATTACATTTCTATAAAATAATTTTAGCCACTAGCCTGGAGTACCTGAGATTTTTCACAACATCAACTTCCACTCAGAAATCCTTTAAGGAGAATAAGCATTTAGTCCTAACATTTGAGGATGGGACGCTCTTAACAATTTAATACCACCATGACTGAAATGGAGCAAGGAAATGGCAAACAAATTAGTGCTTCGAAATTCTTCTCCAGATAAAGGGGAGGACCTGGGATCTCCTTTATGTGCTCTATACTGAGGCTCCTTGTAATTAAACTGTAAAACAATGGCCTCTAGAGCAGTGGTTCTCAACCTTTTTAATGCCGCAACCCCCCAACCGGTCGTAAGTCGAGGACTACTCAACCGGTTGTAAGTCGAGGACTACTCAACTGGTGCAGCACCGTTTGCAGAATGGGACTTTTGGCGGGCTCAGTAGGGCAGAGACAGCCTGGACAATTCCTATTGGCTTTTGAAAGCCAATAAAATTAGACTCTGTTCAAGAGAGTCTATTTCCTTAGCACAGCTAAGGAAAGGGGGGAAAAAATGGCAGACTGCGTTGTCTGGTGACCCCCATGAAATGGTCATTCGACCCCAAATGGGGTCCCAACCCACAGGTTGAGAACCACTGCTCTAGAGGGTTTTAGAGCTCCTGAAGCTGAAGCAAACTCAGCTTTGCCCAAGCTATGGTTGAAAGCATTCAAATGGACACTGGGTTCATCCACATCCTTTCTTAATCATTTCTGGAAATTGTTTATTAACTGCGTTGGGGCTATCAAGAACTTTCAGAATGGCAAGTTTCATCAAACCTGGTGTTTCTCCTTCAGTCCACAGGGAAAGAAGTTTAACAACTTGGAATAAATTGTTTTGAAATAATTAGAACATTGATTTTAGAAAGTTGCTAAGGGGCCAGATGGATTGAAAATAAGATTTTGAAATCTTATAAATCTATAAGAATCCTTCTTGTGTTTAAAATCCTATTAAAATATATAGGAAGATATAGAATACAATATGGTTAAATATATACCTATATACCTTCTTTTTTCTGATAAATTTTAATGGAGTTTTACTGATTAGGACTGAATGATGAAGCTTTATAACTTGGTTATTGTCTTGAGATAGGGGAAGAGAGATCCTCTGTTGAAATGTTAGAGAAAATAAGTTATTAAAATAATCTGTTCTTATCTTTATGACAGGGATATACACATGCGCACGCCCGCACGTGCACACACATGCACACATACATATACACAAACATTCAAGATTTAACTATCAGGAAAAATAATTTCTCTGATTTAATTTCTCTGACTATTCAGATATATCAATGTGTATAACTTGCTCTTTTAAGAGGCAACATGATTTACAACATTCTTGTCACCAAGTCTGAACAGGAAAGGACATGTTAAGAAAATGAGAGAGGAGGTGGAGGCAGAGAAAAATAAAACTTTAATAGGAGAGACCAAAACCCGGTACGGTATTTGCAGTTCTCTGTATGGTGCAGTTTCTGATCTTGACCATGAGAGGGCAGTACAAACTAAAGTGAATCGTGAACTACAGTTGTTATACCATGAAAATTAAAATGATAAAGAATGATTCAAGGTCAAATTGGTGCAAATTGAATGATTTGTTGTGTAGCTTACTTTGCAAAATCCAAGAAGGATATATGTCCATGATAAAATCCTGGTTTCATCTCTTTCCATGAAGTTATGTTCTTCACAAAACGTACCTATAAGAAAAAGGAAGATTGTTTAATATTTTACAAAACAAAATACAACAGTGTGTGTGTGTGAGTGTGTGTGTGTGTGTGTGTGTGTGTGTATTCATTATATAATTTATTCTACTTTATATCCTCCAGAAATTCAAGGATGATGAGCCAGCATCATCAATATTTATTATGGACAGATAGCTGAAAACATTGGGATTTGCTAAACATGGCTAAGTTTTTAATCAGGGATGTGTTATATTTCATATTGTATAATAATACATTGAACAACCTTAGGTTTAATTATTAGTCAAATATGTATTTATTATTTGAAGTGTTATATTTAGTTCCTATCTTTCATAATTAGAATATACAAATTTTGACACAATGACACACCGGTAAATACAGATAAGAGTAAAAGCTCCAAGCCAGGCTTAACTCCTGGCAACTTCAGCAATATTTCAATTAATTTTCTTAGCAATATCATAGAAACGTTCTTCAACGTCTCATTCTAGTCCACAGACCTGGAATTTTGAGTTGGAAATTACAATACATTTGTATTATTCCAAGTATTTGAAAGTGGTGCTTTAAAAAGTTTGCTGTCTTCAAAGCATTAAAGGATCTGGGGTCTTCAAAGCATTAAAGCAGCTAGATCCTTAGGACAGCTTACATGACTGCTCAAGACTGTCCCTATTATCTGTACAGACACTCAGTATTAGTATTTTTGAAGAAGCTATATGAGTTTGCATACAAATACATAATTCGGAAAGCAACAAACTTGGACAAAAATTGATCAACATGAAAAACAGTATCTGTAATAATCTAATCTTGTACTTTCAGAAGTTGAAACTGTAATGGAAAACAGATGAGATAAAGCAGACATATCTCGTAATTTATCAAGATAATATGTAATGCTATTTCTAGAACAACATTCCTAACACAGTATTCATGGCTGCTGGAATTTCTGAGAGTTGTCTGGCAAAATGACTTTAGCTATTGCCAAGAGAATACCAAACATCTGAAGTAAGCTACATCTTGACCTTTGGAGAAGGAGATTGCTTTAGCCAATGAACACAGACACGATTGTCAAGTCAATATAAAATGGGGACGATTTCAACTGTAGAATTTATACTATTTATCCAATAGTAAATTCAAGTGCTAACTCCCAGCATTATTAACAAAAAAATCAGCTACCAACTTGCTCAGTGGAACTGCAATGTTTGAGAAAGTAACCCCCCCAAAATAATCATAAAAACCTAGAGATAAAAACAATACCTAGCACAATGAGAATTATATAATAATAATAATAATAATAATAATAATAATAATAATAATAATAATAATAAAGTTGGAAGGGACCTTGGAGGTCATCTAGTCCAACCCCCTGCTCGGGCAGGAAACCCTACACCATTTCGGACAAATGGCTGTCCAGTCTCTTCTTAAAAACTTCCAGTGTTGGAGCATTTACTGCTTCTGGAGGCAAGCTGTTCCACTGATTAATTGTTCTCACTGTCAGGAAGTTTCTCCTTAGTTCTAGGTTGCTTCTCTCCTTGATTAGTTTCCACCCGTTGCTTCTTGTCCTGCCTTCAGGTGCTTTGGAAAATAGCTTATTCCCTCTTCTTTATGGCAGCCCCTGAGATATTGGAATACTGCTATCATGTCCCCCTTGTCCTTCTCTTCGTTAAACTAGACATACCCAATTCTAGCAACCGTTCCTTATATGTTTTAGCCTCCAGTCCCCTAATCATCTTTGTTGCTCTTCTCTGTACTCTTTCTAGAGTCTCAACATCTTTTTTACATCGTGGTGACCAAAACTGGATGCAGTATTCCAAGTGTGGCCTTACCAAGGCATTGAAGAGTGGTATTAATACTTCACGTGATCTTGATTCTATCCCTCTGTTAATGCAGCCTAGCACTGTGTTGGCCTTTTTGGCAGCTGCAGCACACTGCTGGCTCATATTTAAGTGATTGTCTACTAGGACTCCGAGGTCCCTCTCACAGTTACTACTATTGAGCATGGTGCCACCTATGCTGTACTTGTGCATTTGGTTTTTCTTGCCTAAATGTAGAACCTTGCTTTTTTCACCATTGAATTTCATTTTGTTAGTTAGTGCCCAGTGTTCAAGTCTGTCCAGATCCTTCTGTATCTGAAGCCTGTCTTCTGGAGTGTTGGCTATTCCTGCCAGCTTGGTGTCGTCTGCAAATTTGATGAGTTCCCCATCTATCCCTTCATCCAAGTCATTGATGAAGATGTTGAAGAGTACTGGGCCCAGAACAGAGCCCTGGGGCACCCCACTACACACTTCCAGAAGTTCCAGAATTAAGCATACTCAATAATAATAGAACATAGGTGTGTGTGTGTGAGAGAGAGAGGGGGGGAGAACAGGTGGGGTGAAAGTTTAATTCTGTTTTGGTATAGCAACAATAGCTAGTTCTCTATGCTATGTCAAATGGAACAGAAATATATGATACAGAAACCAAATTTTATTTAATTATTATCTACAATGTATCGCAAACTCTTATATAACATCAATGTGTCTTACAAAATATAGATAACTAAGGTACAACAGGCCATTTAATGAACACTGGAAGTTACAACTCCCCCCCCCCCAAATAATCTAAATACAAATCCTTTCAACCTTAACAACCCCTGCAGCACCCCTGTGGTCATTCATCCTTACCACCGGCCACAAAGACACTGCAGCATACCATCCTACCTATCACTCTCTCATCCTGCCCTGTCAGGCTCTCCGAGGCATTGAGCCTGCTTTCCCACCATACCGGGTTCCACTCACTCCTATCCACCACCCACCACTCCTGGCACCATTCGCTCACTTATCTTTCGAAGATATCCAGTGCTCAGGAAGTCAGGTAGAGAAGGCTGCTCCCTTGCTCGGCCACTGATGGACCACATGGCACAATTGAGAAGAAATCCTGCTGGGTTTGCTTCCCTCACAATCCTTTTGTCCACAGAGCTAGCCGCATTAACTTTACACTAGCATGGCTGGGGTTCGGGGTGTTCAGAAGAATTCATGCCGACTGCCATCCTTAGCTCCCTGAATGCCAGCATAAGGCCTTACGCTAGAATGGCTGGCGTTTGGAGAACTAAAAAAGAAATTGTGCTGATTTTGGTCCATTGCAATCCTTTCCTCCTCAGCCAGTGTAACTCTAGCCCTACGCTGGCATTTGGGAGGATAAGAAGTCATGCTGATTTATGCTGGCTGGGGATGAAAGGATTGCAACAGACCAAAACTGGCACAATTTCTTCTTACCAGTAGCTCCCCGAATACTAGCCATACTAGTATAAGGCCTTATGCCAGCATTCGAGGAGCTAAAGAAAATCAGGCTTGTCAGATGTTACATTTTTTCTATCCTGCTCTATGGAGTAGAGAGTTGGTCTCTGACAGAAGGCCACCTGAAGAGACTAGAAGCATTTGAAATGTGGATTTACAGGCGGCTGTTGCGTATAAGTTGGATTGACAAGATCAGAAATGAGGAGGTAATAAGCTGCCTGGGAAAGCCAAGGGAAATCATCAAAACAATTAAAAAACAAAAGTTAGAATATTTTGGACATGTGATGCGACACCCAGAAAAATACGGCATACTCCATTTAATCCTCCAGGGAAAGATTGAAGGCAAACGAGGGCCAGGCAGAAGAAGAACATCATGGCTTCAAAATCTAAGGGACTGGTTTGGACAAAACTCAGCAGCACTTTTTCATGCTGCTGATAAAAACAGGATCGCCAACATGATCGCCAACGTCCGATAACGGATATGGCACAAGAAGAAGAAGGAAATCGTGCCGATTTACACTTGCTGAGGAAGAAAGGATTGCAACAGACCAAAATCGGCACAATTACTTGATTCCCCGAATGCCAGCCAGACTAGCGTAAAGCTAGAGCGACTGGCACTGGGCAGGAAAAGATTGTGAGGGAAGCAAAACCAGCAGGATTTTTTTTCTCAATTGTGCCATGTGGCCCAGCAATCATCCAGCAAGGGAATTTTTTCTACTCCAACTTCCTGAGCTCTGAATATCTTCAAAAGGAAATGTGTGATTGTGACGGGGTGGGGTATGGAGGAGGCCCATAAGTCTTTGGGAAACTCAAGGATCAGGAGGCAGAGCTTGGGATATCAGAGGTTGGGGGAGGTCTACCCGGTGCGCGTGTGCCTGCACTAGGCCTCCATGGTTTCCCTCACCCCCAAGTCACCCCAAGCTCTACCTAATGACCTATGCATTTGTTTTAGGAACGCATTGGGGAAAGCAGGGACGGGGAGATCATTAATTATGCACTTCATTTAACGTAGTCTGACAAGAATGGGCAGGCTCCATTACTGTCATAAATCGAAGACTACCTGTCGCCATCATAATCTGCTACAAAAATAAAATAAATAAAAAAGCCTACACAGAATTTTTCATTCCATGGGCTGCTGCAAATATTTCAAAGCTTACTTATACAAGTTAAATATATATTTTAATGTTGTTATCAAAAGTGAATGAAGTTATTAGGAATACAGTTGCCATGGATCCAGCTCTAAAGAATACTCTTCTAACTTATTGCAAAGACATATGATGGATGTTCATTCCCAGTGTTTGAGTAAACAGTCAGTGTAGTGCGTCAAGTATATATTTTTAAAAAAAATAAAACAAAATACTGTCACGCGTCTCTTAAATTTAACTACAACTGCTTATATATTTTTAGAATGTTAGATTTTTGAAGGTCTTAAATATGAAATGAACTATTTGGGCTACAATAGTTCTTTTATCCTACAACTGACCTATAAGATCTAGACATAATGATGATATTCTAAACATTCCAAGCTAGATAAATATGAAAAATACTATTCCAATAATCGAATCTAGATAAATATGAAAAATACTATTCCAACAATCAAAACTCAAGGTCCAACAGTCACAGATCCTTCCAATTATTACTTCAGTTTCAACCAACTCATGCAGCATCAGTTCCCAAGTGAATCCAGACAGTTTAAGTACAAAGACCGTGAATACCAATGTGTGATTTTTTTTAAAAAAAAGACTGTGCTATGCTGTCATTCAAATCTCCACCTCATCCAGCACCTGCATGTTGAATGAAAAATCCCAGGAAAATAAACTGGAGCAAATATTAAACTGCCCATTCAACATTCTTTTCTAGGGAAAATCTACTATCATAATGGCACATAAATACAAAAGACCTTACCTGTAGGCCTTTTTTAATACTAGTATTTTTGTCTTCTATCTTGCAGTAGTAAGTAACTGAAGTAACAATTAATGTATGTTGGTATCACTATATTTGATGCCAAAGCCTTTCATGAACAGAGAATATTCATTTGTCATCAATTATTCAGGATCATAAGCAACTCTGCAAGTATTTTCACTACTATTTCTCTTTCATATTGTTACAAAAGCTATCACACACACACACATACACACGTTTGGGATTTTATTTTGGAGGAATGCTTGAACTGGAGACTTTTTTCTAAAATTTTACTTAGGAAGGTCAGAAAATATAAAAGGATTTTTGCAGAACATTTTTTTCCTGATACTTAAAAAGAAAGTATTCAAAAGCTATTTCTGAATTTCTGGAATATTCAAACTGTTTTACATTTTCAACCCAGATGCATTTTTTAGATGTGAAAAATAGAATAAATGTATCTTGACAGAGAAAAAGCATCAGAAATCCTACAGGGAAAAAAAGTGAAAATTGGGAGCTTCAAAAATTCTCTGAGATATAAAGAATAAGAATCACATGCTCAGAAAAACGTAAGGGAATAAAATAGGTTACGAATTTCAAAATTGCTGATAAATATGATAAAAAAACAAGTGCAACAATGATGTCTGTGTCAACTTCTAAAAAGAGCCTGGCTGAAGCCATCTTTGTTGTTCTAAGTTGTCACACAGATTGGGGGGAAGGGAGATAAGAAAACGAAAGTATTGCTAGACAAAACGCAGAGCGGTCCCGTGGGAACCAAGGTCATTCCCGTAGGTGCTGGAAAGAGGAGGGAAGATGAATTGAGGAGCCTGCCAATTATTTTCATTGGATAGCATGATCTATACAGGTAGTCCCTGAGGTACGAACCTGGCCATTAGGCTCGTAAGTCAAAAAAACTCTTCAAATGAATCAGACTTAATTTTAGAAATTTTTAAAATCCAATTTATTGATTAAATCAAATGGATTGTTAAATGAATGAAGATCTGACTTACTATTTCCTCCGATAGCTGCCATGTTAACTGAACTGGGAGGGTTTACCACCAGCCACCGATCAGCTCTTTCTGGTGAACTGGCTCAAGAACTAAATTTCCTCCAAGCAGGGCTTGCAAGCTATCAGAGTTATTTTTTATTTAAAAAAAAAAACACTGCTGCTAGTCAGCTCAAGCATCTTCAGCTGCCGGGGGGAGGGGGGAGCGGTGGCAGGTGTTGCTTTAATAAAAATCACTAGCTTAAGAGCCAGCCAGGCACCCAGAAGGAGCTGGGGGAGGGATTTGCAGAACTCTCGGCTTGCAATAGTAACAGAGATGGAAGGGACTTTGAGATCAGCTAGTCTAACCCACTGCTCTCACAAGAGAGTATTTCTGATCAATGCCATCCAGTCTCTTCTTAAAAGCTTCCAGTGATGGGGCACCCACAACTTCTGGAGGGAATTTAAATTTAAAATCTACAAACTACTGTAATATATGCTAATTTCCACAATAAAAGCTCAATAGTTTGCAAATACAATCGTTTGCGAAGTACAGTACTTAAAAAGCAGAGCAGTTCCCACTTTGGGAACTGCTCTGCTTTTTAAGTACTGTACTTTGCAAACTATTGTGTTTGCAAACTATAGAGTAACAAAAAAATTTTTTTTAAATACTTACGGAAGTAATTGTAGCACTCGAGCCCAGGCAGTAGCAGATTGCAGCGAAAGCAAAAACTGGTACCGGCTCGGCTCTTGTTTGGCCATGTGACCAGGGACAAAAATAAAAAAAAACCTTCCAGCTTCTCGTAGCCCCAAATGGCCCAGGCAAGTCACAGAGATAAAAATGGCCTCCGCTGCAGTAGAGACTGAAATCAAGTCACATGGCTACAGAGGCCTCTTTTTGGTCACAGTTTTGAATTTCTAATGTAAGTACCCTTTCTGAATTAATTTGTTTTTGTGAAAACTCACGAAATAAACGCTCGTACCTGGGGATTACTTGTAGGAAAGTAGAGGGGAGGGAAATGTTACTTTTACTTACAATGAATCTCTAGGGAAATTTCAGAGTTGGTTTCACTTTTGACCGTGCCGATATTGTGTATCCAATAAAGATATGCTTTGAGGAAACTTCAAGCCTCGGAGTTCTGATTTATTTGGTTTCATTAATCAGAACCTTGACAGTATGATTTCATTAAACATGCATATTGAGATTTGAGTCAACAGGATTTTCTGGGGAAGTGCCCAGGTGTGTAATACATATTTAGGCAAAAATAGTAATTCAGCATATTTCTGTGGACATATAACTTGCCTTAATAAAGTCCTTCTTGATCAGCCATAAGTCAGATAATCCTTTTTTGCTACTCGTGATAGCACATAAAGGGACATCATATGGTTAGCATTATTAAGCCAATTATTCTTCTAGAATTTTGAAAAAGAAGGCCGAAGGGTAATAAGACTGACTAAGAACGAAGATGGAAAATGATCTGAATATGAATCAGTGGATTCCATCAAGAGGTTTGTATGGAAAAATGATATGACCCAGTTATGAACAAATGATGGAAATAAAGGTTTAAGCCACTAAAAAAATTTATATTTGGTATGAAACGGAAAGAATGACCAATTGATGTAGAAAATACAGAAGGAGAACAAGGTTTATTCTGTTTTAAACAGTGAGAGAATGCCCTAATTTATCACAGAGCAAATACCTATAATGGTCTAACTAATATCATACCTACATTTGCTTTTATTCAAATTTAAGTTCAATGAAACTAGAATGTAACATAAATCAGATATGAAAATTTCCACTCTAATTCTAAGTCAGGGATTTTATTAGAACGTATTATTTTGTTGTTCTCCACTGGGACTGAGACATCACCTCACAAACAATACTTTATGATTGATAGAAAAAAATCATTAAGTAAGATTAATGAGCAATGCAAAATGTAATATCTTAACTATGTTAACTTACTTGATCTTGTAGAGACATAACAGGATTGTTTTTGGTTGTGTTGATATGAAGAACATGATACTTATTCTTCGCACAAAGATCATATGCAATGTTTGTGAAAGATGTACTTGCAGTTTTAGGTACCCGATTGTAAATGATCACTACATCATCGTCTTCATCTGGGATTAGATCTGATCGAGAGCCATCTACTGTATGGCGCTGCTCTATTTCCCGAACTTCATGTTTTGCAATAGCCCTCTCTGTGAAAACAAAGCACATAACAAAACAAACACATTTTTAATTTTGCCATTTGTTAGACCAATATAATTTCAATTTCCTTTTACTAAGAGTTGGATCATATGATAGACTAGGGCAAAGTGACTTTGGTTAAACTATGGCTAAAAAGGAGCACCTTAAACATCCTAAATTTGTAGCTATATCTTTAAAGAATGTTACTTTTCCTAAAATGAAGGAGCTGCATGCCATCTCAACCTGAATGGAAAATTTAGGTCCCAACTGTATGCAGTGACTTGTTTCTTGGTTATATTAGTGATTATGGTATATCATACATTCTTGGCTATTATGTATTTTAACATTTGCATTATTGTAATTGTTTTTATTTCATTGCCACCTACAGCCACTTGTTGAGGTGAGTGGTCATACAAATAAATAAAATAAAATAAACTACAGGAAGGGAAACCCATCAGGTATATTTAAGGTTATGGCTAGTCTTAATCATAGTTAATGCTATATGATCATAATTTGGAAACAAAACTACTATTCAGGGTTAACAAGAATAAGAAAAAAGATCGCACAGTAAGTGTTTTTTCACATACAGTGGGGCAAAAAAGTATTTAGTCAGCCACCAATTGTGCAAGTTCTCCCACTTAAAAAGATGAGAGAGGCCTGTAATTGTCATCATAGGTAGATCTCAACTATGAGAGACAAAATGAGAAAACAAATGCAGACAATCACATTGTCTGATTTGGAAAGAATTTATTTGCAAATTATGGTGGAAAATAAGTATTTAGTCAATATCAAAGGTTCATCTCAATACTTTGTTATATATCCTTTGTTGGCAATGACAGAGGTCAAACATTTTCTGTAAGTCTTCACAAGGTTGGCACACACTGTTGCTGGTATGTTGGCCCATTCCTCCATGCAGATCTCCTCTAGAGCAGTGATGTTTTGGGGCTGTCGCTGGGCAACACGGACTTTCAACTCCCTCCAAAGGTTTTCTTTGGGGTTGAGATCTGGAGACTGGCTAGGCCACTCCAGGACCTTGAAATGCTTCTTACGAAGCCACTCCTTCGTTGGCCGGGCAGTGTGTTTGGGATCATTGTCATGCTGAAAGACCCAGCCACGTTTCATCTTCAATGCCCTTGCTGATGGAAGGAGGTTTACACTCAAAATCTCACGATACATGGCCCCATTCATTCTTTCCTGTACATGGATCAGTCACTGATCCCTTTGCAGAGAAACAGCCCCAAAGCATGATATTGCCACCCCCATGCTTCACAGTAGGTATGGTGTTCTTTGGATGCAACTCAGCATTCTCTCTCCTCCAAACAGCATGAGTTGTGTTTCTACCAAATAGTTCTACTTTGGTTTCATCTGACCATAGGACATTCTCCCAATCCTCTTCTGGATCATCCAAATGCTCTCTAGCAAACTTCAGACGGGCCCGGACATGTACTGGCTTAAGCAGGGGGACACGTCTGGCACTGCAGGATCTGAGTCCCTGGCGGCATAGTGTGTTACTGATGGTTGCTTTTGTTACGTTGGTCCCAGTTCTCTGCAGATCATTCACTAGGTCCCCCCGTGTGGTTCTGGGATTTTTGCTCACCGTTCTTGTGATCATGTTGACCCCATGGGGTGAGATCTTGCGTGGAGCCCCAGATCAAGGGAGATTATCAGTGGTCTTGTATGTCTTCCATTTTCTAATTATTGCTTCCACAGTTGATTTCTTCACACCAAGCTGCTTGCCTATTGCACATTCAGTCTTCCCAACCTTGTGCAGGTCTACAATTTTGTTTCTGGTGTCCTTCGACAGCTCTTTGGTCTTCACCATAGTGGAGTTTGGAGTGTGACTGTTTGAGGTTGTGGACAGGTGTCTTTTATACTGATAACAAGTTCAAACAGGTGCCATTAATACAGGTAATGAGTGGAGGACAGAGGAGCCTCTTAAAGAAGAAGTTACAGGTCTGTGAGAGCCAGAAATCTTGCTTGTTTGTAGGTGACCAAATACTTATTTTCCGCCATAATTTGCAAATAAATTCTTTCCAAATCAGACAATGTGATTGTCTGCATTTGTTTTCTCATTCTGTCTCTCATAGTTGAGGTATGATGACAATTACAGGTCTCTCTCATCTTTTTAAGTGGGAGATCTTGCACAATTGGTGGCTGACTAAATACTTTTTTGCCCCACTGTATATCCTACAAATAATGACTATAAAATATCCAACACTTTGCAAAGGGAGACAGTTGAAAAGATACTGCACATAATATGAATTTTGCAAAACATTAGCTAGTGACCATTTTGGATTTAGTCAATTAATTGCAAAAAGGAACTGAAATTTAGATAAAATGAATCCTGCGCTTATTTTAATTAAGCACTGTCCCTTGTGTATGATATTACAATGATTTGCTTTGCAAAATCCAATTAGACATTAATTGCAAGTCTGATAAGAAGTGGAAGCATTTTATGACAATATCATCATTAAAGACGTAAAATTTCCATCTTGAGTACAAAAACACAAGCTACAAAAAAGAAAAGAACAAATGAAGCAAGTAGAAAACCTGAAATGGAAATCCCAGAAACTGGGACAATATACTTTGGTGTTATTTTACACTCGCCATGCTGAAGAACATAGCCAGTACTATCATCCAAATGAATGTACCTTTTCAATATAGGGATGGGGCCGTGGTAACTCTTGTAGTTAGGAAACTGAGTCAAAAGACCATTGAGAGGTCAACAGCTCAGCAGTTCAAAACCTGAGAATGAATATGTGACAGAATGAGCTCCTGTCAATTTGCCCCATCTCCTGCCCACCTAGCAGTTCGAAAGCATGTAAATGCAAGTAGATAAATGGGTACCACTTCAGCGGGAAAATAACAGGGACATGAAAGAAGCCCCCTCAGGCATCCCCTGGGCAACCGTGATATTACCAGATAATCCTTTCAACCCAGAAGTGCTTTGGTAGGTGCTTCCAACACGAATGCAGTAGTAGTAGTATATATAAAGGCCTGTCACTCCTAGATGCCCTGAAGGTAAACTGCCTAGCAGTTTAATAAACATACTCTTTCCATAATGATTGTAGTACTCCTCATTGCAATTTCTTAACCTAGTCAAGAAGATAGAAATACTGTCTTTGCAATGGGAGAGTGTAAAGATAATATTGGGATTTTAGGGCAGGAATAGGCATCCTGAACTTCTCAAAGTTCATATAGATAGAAAGAATACAAATCAGGGAAATCTGAAATTAATGGAGTTATATTCCACCCAGAAAAGGGAAATCCAATGTTAGAAGTCATTTTGAATTTCTGGAAATAATGTGGTGGGATGGGGGTGGGGTAAAAACAGGGAGACTAAAATGGTCAAAAGAAAAGCAAGACGAGGAAAATGCCCTGCAATTAATCAGTTGAGATCTCAAGTAAGAAATACATTTGTTTTGTTTGGCAGCAGCTTGTTGGGTGGGAACAGAGAAATGTAAGAGCAAGAAAAATGGGCAGCACTATCAATGTCTTGCATCATTTGTCCTCACCATCAACATGCAGTTCTCCATCTGGAGAAGAGTGGGGCTTTCAAAGGAAGAGAAAAAAATGGTTCCCATCCCCAAATATACATTAAAGCATGCTCAGAGTTAGCACACAAGTAGGAACAATATAAAGTATTCCGTTTCTATATTTGCTTTCTGTGGAACATATACCCTTGGGATATACAAGCAAACAAAAAAAAAAAAACACCACACCATCCGAGCAATAAAAATTCTTTCCTGAAAACAAGAAAAAGAGCAAGTAAAACCTAACATATGTAATGAAATGCTCAGTCCTGTTAAAACAGGTGGCAGATACAAAATATATATTTTACAAAAGCTATCTTTTACAGATATCTTTTAAAAAACGGAGATCTGTGTCATTTTTCTCAGTTCACTACTCCCTTTCTTTTTTCCTTCCTTTCTTTGTCTAAGTCGTTCCCTTGTTTACGCTTGTATTACATGCAAATTATTTCATTGATCCAATTGTGAAGGATTTTTGTTGCTTTTAGTTCAGTGGTATTTAAGGATGGCAGAATCTTAACATTTTGCATCTAAAAGCTGATGGGAAAAGAAAGATAGGTACTAAAAGAAAAAAAAAGGAACTAAAGAAAAGTTGTATCTACATTCATGTGAAAAAGTATAAGTACACCCCATTGAAATTTTTCACTTTTTTGCCAAATTTTAACATATAAATACCTGATCTTCATTTCAACAATATTGATAAAGGGAATACAGTGTATAATATAAACATCATGCACCACTTACATTTTATAGTCCATTGTGTAATTTAAATATACATTAATGCAAATTTCACATGTGGAAAAATGATATCCCTACGTTTCTCACTACTTCAAATACCTAAAATTAGAATCTGATGCATCAGGTGATTAGAGCATTGTTAGAGAGGATCTGGGAAACTATCTTTAAACCTCAAACAATTTAGCTTGATTTGCTCTTTGTTGTTGAAGTGTGTGATATCATCATGCCTAGATCAAAAGAGCTCTCTGAAGCCTTCAGAAACATATATCTATGAGTCTAGGAAGATATTTTAAAAGATTACCAAACAAAAACATATCAATCATTCCACTGTCTAGATTAGGTTATCTACAACTGGAGGAGATTTCAAACAACTGCCAACTTGTCTAGGTCAGGAAGTCCTAGCAAGATAGCAAAATGCAAGATGCTGAAAGAAGTCTCTAAGACGCCCAGAATTTCAGCACATGAGCTACAAGTAGCTCCCAACACTACTGATGTCAAAATGCATCAGTTTACTATTAAAAATGAAACTACATAAATTAACTTCATGGGACATGTTCCAAAACCTTTCCTGTTTAAATATCAGGCAAAGAATAAATTTGCTCATGAATACTTAGGCAAAGACTATGATTTCTAGATGTCCTCTGGAAAGACAAGGCAAAGACAGAGTTATTTGGCCAAATACCAGAAGACATGTTTGTTGAGACCCAAAGACAGCATTTCATCAGAAGAAACTGGTAACAACT